ACTCCCACTCCCTGTCAGCTGCTCGTCTTCCTCCTCGGATTCAGACTCTGACAGGGGCATGACACTTCCAAAGCACCTGAAGGCAGGGCAAGAAGCAACGGATGGAAGCTCATCCAGGTAGAGAAGAAACCTGGAGAAACTTCCTAACAGTGAGGACAATGAACCAGTGGAACGGCCTGCCACCAGAAGTAGTGGCTACTCCATCGCTGGAGGCTTTTAAGAAGAGACTGGGCAGCCACTTGTCTGAAACAGTATAGGGTCGCCTGCCTGAGCAGAGGGGCTGGGCTAGAAGACCTCTAAGGTCCCTTACAGCTCTATTCTGATTCTCTGGGGCCCATCAGCTCCAGAGAAGGATTAAATCCTAGTTTTTAAGTGAAGCATTGATCCAGACGGGTTTACAGGCAGTCCTCCACTTACGACCACAAATGAGCCCAAAATGTCCACTGCTCAGCAAGAGGATTGTCAAGTGAGTTTCCCCTATTTTTCTACCTTTCTTGATAAGTCAGGCTGTGATTAAGGGAACCTGGCTTCCCCATGAAATGTTGCTTGTCAGAAGGTCGCAAAAGGGGATCAGGTGAGCCCCGGTACACTGCAACCAGGGGTGGGATTCAATTTTTTAAACAACCAGTTCTGTGGGCATGGCTTAGTTGGTGGGCGTGGCTTGGTGGTCATGTTATTGGCTGGGCGTGACCAACTCAACATCACTCCCATCGAGGCCCTCATCTCCTCGCCTGGCCTCTCATGACATGGCAGAAGGGCCACCTTCTCCAAAAACCACTGCAAACACTGGAGTGCCAAATGGCTGAGTTGATGGACCAGAATAATAGCCTGGTGTTATACTGCAATTCCCGTAGCCATGACAGATACCGGGTCGAAGCCTTCAGCAGAGATGGTGGACACCTCTTCGAAGCCCCCTTCAAGTCTCAGACAGTGGAGGCGCCTAGTAAGGGTTGTCCAGGTAGCGTGGTGAGTTTTCCTTCTCCACAACGGGGGTCTGAGTCTTCCTTGGCCTCCTCAAAGGCTCCCGAATCGTGGCTGATCTCCCTTCCCACCAACCTAAAGAAGCGTGCAGATCTGGGCATCTACTTGAACCCCTGTCCATTGGAGAAAAATTCCTGGAAGACACCCTGGATCTTGAACATGGGACCCAGTGCCTACTCAGATCTGGCAGTTTGCACAGGGGAAAATCCTCTCTTTTTTGGCTGTTTGTTCGAATGTGGAACGTCGACGCCCAGTGAAGAGATCGCCTTCCAGTTATTCAGTGATGCCAAAGTCCTGAAAGAAAAGGAAAGGCAGTAAAGAGTAAATAGTGAAACAAGAAAATATGAAAAAATAGAGATGTATAGAATTATATAGATTATATAAAACAAAAGAAATTGAAGGGAGAGGAAATAAAGAAAAAGAACAAATAGTGAAATAAGAAAATAAAATTAAAAAATAGAAATATATGGAATTATATAGATTATATAAAACATAATAGAAACTGAAAGGAAAGGAAAAACAGTAAAGAAAAAGAATAAATAGTGAAAAAAAGAAAATATGAAACAATAATTATATAGCAGCAGCTTCTGATCTTGACAGTAGTTTTAGATGCGTTTATATTTTTTGTCAGGGAATTGCGCAGCCCGTGTCCACATGGAAGTCAGAGGCACTGAGATGAACTTGTAGTTTTATATAAATAAATATATTTTATAACTATATATACAGCAAACTAGGCTAACAGGAGCATCAGTCAAGACAGCAGGAAGATCATGAGGTAAATTACAAGGCAAGCAGAAGAAAAAGGCGGGAAAAAAGGGAACCTCCCCCTCCCCACTCACACAACCAATCACAACACAGCTTGCCTCATGCAGGAGCCAGCCCCACCCCCCTGCTCCAGCTACCAAATTTAAATAGCTTAACGTTTCCCCCTGAATAGAATAAAAGAGAAAATAATATAGAATAGAATTAGAACTAGAATAGGGAAGAGAAGAGGAGAGAGAAGAGAAGAGTTGGAAGGGACCTTGGAGGTCTTCTAGTCCAACCCCCTGCTCAGGCAGGAAATCCTATATCATGTCAGACAAATAGTTGCTCAGTCTCTTCTTAAAAACCTCCAGTATTGGAGCACTGCTTTTATGTCACCCCTGGTCCTTCTTTTCATTAAAATTACATCCTAATTTCCTTCTTTCCATAACCCACCTTTCCTAATCTTCAAAAACATGTAGGCATAAGCTCTTTTTTTTTCTTTTTTGAGCAAAAAAAATCCATGAGGGATTTGCAGCCACGGATAAATACAGTTATCGATCTTTCCCTAAATCAATTTTGCCACCTCTGCTAGTTTTGTCGCCTTCAACAGCCGTTCCTCCATCCTGGATATTTTATAATCTTTCCATTTTGGCACAGATTAATAATCTTACAGTAATAATCACATTATAATAATCTTCCCTGGCTCTTTTTAATTGGCTGTTCATTATTCCCAGCTGGAAAATAAACTCATTTCAATTAAATGTGGATTTTGAAACTTTTTTTTATATAAATAAAAAATTGAATAAATAAATGAATATGACTTTGAACCCAGAACTTTCTGGCTGTTTGACCAATCTACCAGGCATAATCAAATGACTCTTAATAGTGTCCATATTTCAAACATAAATTTGAAGTACCTTTATACATTCTAGATAATTGTTCTGCAGTCACAGACCGACCAACCATCATTTTGTAAAAAAAAAATAAATCCCTCTTTAAGTTGTAACATCATGTTAACTGGGAATTGGTTTTTTAATCTGGGTAAAATAAATCACTCTATTCCCAGGAACAGGAATTGAACCCTGATATTAAGGCTAGAAAGCCGGAAAACATGACCCATGAAAGCCATCTGGGTAACTTTGGGCCTATCATTCTCTCTCAGCCTAACCCACCTCACAGGGTTGTTGTTACGGAGGAAATGGGAAGAGGAAGGTGTCTTGGGCATGTTCATCCATAGGTAGGTAGAGAGTGAGAGAGAGAGAGAGATACATGATGGATAGATAGATTGATAGATATAGAAATAGATAGATAGATAGATAGATAGATAGATAGATAGATAGATAGATAGATAGATAGATATAGACACCCCCTCTTCTTCCTTCCTTCTTTCCTTTTTGTTAGTTCCTTGCTTTCTTTTTTCTTGATTCCCCTTCTTTCCTCTCTTTCCTTCTTCCTTTCCTTTTTCTTCCTTCCGTCCTTCCTTTTATAAGCGGAAAAGTACTAATTTCTTCGCCAAAACAAAAAATGTTTTGCAAAATAAATAAATAAAATGATAGTTTAAAAAGCCAAGAATATGTCCTACTTGTCATGCACGAATCTGTCCAGTAGGTGGCAAAATAGCCATTCATCTTGAAAGACTAGACTAGACCAGCTGCAAAATTCTGGATTAAAAAAAAATAATAATTCCTAGCATTATCCGCCTATCAAGGCACACAGTCCCTGCCTTCTTAGAAGCAAATATTAGGAAATAAGTTTACAGAAGAAACACACTAGTGGGGAAGTTTGCAAAGGGTGCTAAGAATTCTAAATCTCCAACGGAAGAGATGGCTCCAACGTGCAAATTTGCACCAGAATATTTACTGGTCCAATCCGCCCATCCAGACAGGTTGTAGGAAAAAAGATTCTTTGCAAGCAAATAGGATGGACAGAAAAGGCAGGAAAAATGAAAACAATGCACAAGTAGCCAGTTTGGTGTATATACTGTAGTAGTGGTGAAGGTGCTGGCAACGGTTAGTTCTAGTCCTACTGCCTTAGGTACAAAAGTGAGGCGGGTCGTGCAATCACCAGGAGACGGTGAGTTCTAGTCCTGCCTTAGGCAAGAAAGTCAGCTGGTTGACTTTGGGCCAATCACCAGGAGACTGTGAGTTCTAGTCCCGCCTTAGGCACGAAAGCCAACTGGGGGACTTTGGGCCAATCATCAGGCGATGGTGAGTTCTAGTTCTGCCTTAGGCATGAAAGCCAACTGGGGTATTTTGGGCCAATCATCAGGCGATGGTGAGTTCTAGTCCCGCCTTAGGCATGAAAGCCAACTGGGGGACTTTGGGCCAATCATCAGGAGACGGTGAGTTCTAGTCCCGCCTTAGGCATGAAAGCCAACTGGGGGACTTTGGGCCAATCACCAGGAGACAGTGAGTTCTAGTCCGGCCTTAGGCATGAA